CCCCTGCAGAAAGCCTGCTTCGCCGTCCTAGACGCCGACTTCGACCTACTTCCCAAACTCAGCTTACTCACCTTTCCTCCATCTCTGTTCTTGGACGAAGAAGAACCCGTTCATTCTCCCCACCACGGCCCTCCCCAACATCCCATCCTCGTCTTTTGGCGCCCCAAGCATCCTTACCACACCTGCAACACTCTTCGACTGCAGACCTTTCTGCAACACAACAAACACAAAACAGGAGGGATGATGACGAGGGGCTATTCGAGGATGAACTTGGCAAGGGGACTGTAGGAGATTCCGTAGAAAATCCGCCCGACTGGCCTCCACCGAATCTGTGTGGTCTCGCTGCTACTAACATTTGTCTGCAAGCGTATCGTCGGGAACCATATACTCACTCTGATTTCTTGGCCATTGCTTCCGATCTTGATGCTCAGGAACGTGAGTTATATGGCGATAACCCGACTCTGCATCCCCCACAGGATAGTAATTATACTCGACATTGGGGATTCAATGTCTCTGTTTTGGAGACTGCTTTGATAAGGCGCCGCCGCGCCGGCTTGATATGCAGCGTGCCCCTTCGGGTGGCGACGCGAACCACTGTTCGCACGTTTGTGCCTATATTCTACATACTCCTGACCACTACACCGCCCTTGTCCGTGCCTCTGGTTCTTGGGAATTATAAAATGGTGGTGCAAACTATTACTGCCATTTGTGATCTCGTGCGTAATTACCCTAACCTGCAATTGTTCCAGGTCATTGACCCTATGGGTACCTTGTGTACTTCCATGCCCGCCTCTACGCCTATCCCTGTGCCTGCCTTTGTACATGTCTCTGTGCCTGTTTCTGTATGTCTCCTTCCAGATTACTGACTCTATGGATACTACGTGTACTTCCGTCCCCGCCCCTGTCTTTGTGCCTGCCTCCACACCTGTCTCCATGCCCGTTTCTGTGTCTATCTCCGTGCCTACCTCCATGTTTGTCACCGTGTCTGCTTTAGTCTTCATTCCCCCACATGTTGCACTAACACCTTGTGACCTCCTTCTCTGTGAGATCACTGACATAGTTACACTTGGTTGTGGAAAGCATCGACTTTGTCGACATCACTACAACCGTATAATTCTTCGGGCCCGCTGTCGGCAGGGATGCCACCTGTATCCGGATTGTGAACATCCTCTACATCCAGATGCAGTATGTCCCATCTGTGCCTGCGGGCGCTATAGTGAATGTGCACTTAACTGTGATGGTGAACGCCCCACAATTGTCATGGCCTGGCATGCCCTCTGTCGTGCATGCTTCAGAGGTATGGTTAATGCGTGGCGCCTTGGCTCCTGCTGTGACGAAGTTGCTTACCTGAACGGTTTTCGTCCTGTAGATCAGCGGAAGGGCTGCTACCATCGCCCGCATCCTTATGACAGTTGTCCTATCTGTCGTGAGGGTCTTACTTAGACGTACCTTGCACCTTGACAAAAATGTGCAAGTGCGCTGAAAAGAGTGTACAAGAATGTGCAAAGGTGGGGAGCCCTTCACTAAAACTGCAAAACTGTGAAGAATGCAGTAAAAGAAGAACATAAGTTTGTGTCATCTTACTTTGTTTGTACCCTGCACCCTAACACCCTCAAAAGAAAAGTCTGAAGGGTGAAAATGAAGATAAAAATGAAGAAGGAAGTGCAGGTGCGCTGAAAAGCGAACGTGGTAGACTCTTCACCAAAACTGCAAAACTGTGAAAGAAAGAAGAATGCAGTGAAAGAAAGAATATGTTTGGGTCACTTTTTTTTTTTTTTCCTCCCTCTGCCTATCGGTTTTCCTGTTCTGCTCCTTTCTTCCTTGTGTTTAACACCTCTTCCTTCACTCTGCCTCTTTCCCATAGCGTGCAAGTGGGCTGTTATGGCATACGGGGACGGGGGCAGCTCGCGCTCAACTTCATCAACGTTGCGAGCTTTGTACGTTAGAGGCATATTGGAGGAGGCGTTAAGAAGACTGAGAAACTGAATGATTTCAATGTGTCTTTGTTTTTTATTTTTATCTTTTGATTCAGTGTAATTTTTTTTTTTTAAACACTGGTTTGTCTGTCTCTTTGCCTGTCTGTCCTTTCATTTTTCTTTTCTTCGCTCATCTTATTTCTTCTTCTACTTCACGTGCTTACGCTCTTAGTCAATAGTTCTGTGACAATATATATACAGGGCCACCAGCCCGTACGTACGGAGGTCCCCAGGCCGACCTCCGTACGTACGGGCGTTCGGGGTCCCGTACGGGATCCGAACCTGGCGGCGTTCAGCCCCCGCCTAAAATTATTTTGGGGCCTCAAAAAAAAAATTTATTCAAAGTTTTTTTTTGCGAGTTCTCTATGACGTGAGGTACATGCCTATAAATTTTCAAGTCATTTTGCTCAGCCACATAAGAATAACAAATCGCCAAAAATGGCGGTGTCAAAACGTGCTCACCCACATTTTTTTTCACTTTTTACTTTTTGTTTTCACTTTAGTTCGGGGTCTAAAATTTTTTATTATTTTTTGAAACTTTGTTAGTGGATTTTTCATGATGTGAAGTACACATCTGTAAATGTTCAGGGCATTTAGCTATGCCAAAAAAGAAATGAAAAATCGCCAAATATGGCGGTGTCGAAAACGTGCTCGCGCACTCACTAAATTTCATTCTTTTTTTTTTTTGTTGTTATTTTTATTATTAGTACTTGTTCTCCGTATTTTATTTTTATTTCAAATTTGGTAAGGAATTTGAATGTAATGCTCAGGCAAATCTTGTTTAATTTATTTTTCTTCATAACATACATTTTTTCCTGATGTTTTTGATCTTCTTTTTGTTTTTTTGTTTTTTTTTGTTTTGGGTCCCTGTTCGGCCTAAACGGCCGAACGCATCCCCAAGGGGGCCCATATGTTCGGGCGTTCGGGTTCAGGCGTTCGGCCCGTCCCGAATGCCGGTTACCCAGTTTGTCACAGCCCCTCGTTTGTTGTCCTCGTCTCTCTCTCTGCCTACGGTTTACCGGGCAGTTCTGTTTGTGACGATATATAGAGGGTCAACATCCCATACGTACGGAGGTCCCCGGGCAGACCCCCGTACGTACGGGCGTTCGGGGTCCCATATGGGGTCCGAACCCGACGGCGTTCGGCCCCTTCCAAAAATTATTTCGGGGCCTAAAAATATTTTTTGTTTCTGCATTTTCTTTTTATGAGTTCTCTATGACGTGGGGTACATGCCTATAAAGTTTCAAGTCATTGTGCTCAGCCAAATATGAATTAAAAATCGCCAAAGATGACGGTGTCAAAACGTGCTCGCCCACGTTTTTTTTCACTTTTTACTTTTTGTTTTCACTTTAGTTCGGGGTCTTAACAATTTTATTATTTTTTGAAACTTTTTTGGTGGGTTTTAAATTATGTGAAGTCGAAATCTGTAAATTTTTAGGGCATTTCGCTATGCCAAAAAAAAAAGAAAAGGAATTTGGATGTAATGCTCAGGCCAATCTTGTTTAATTTATTTATCTTCATAACATATCTT